AAAAAAAATCTTCAAATCCAAAATCTATGGGATGTAGCAAAAGCTCTTTTATGAGGAAAGTTTATAGTAATAAATGCCTATGTTAAAAAGTAGAAAGACCCCAAATAAATAATCTAATATTATTCTGCAATGAACAAAAAAAGGAACAAACTTAAACCAAAATTAGCAGAATAAAGGAAATAATAAAAATCAGAAAAGAAATAAATCAAATCCAGAAAAGACAAAGAAACTGAGTTGTTTTTTGAAAAAAAAAATAAACAAAATTGACAACTCTTGGCTAGACTAACATTAAAGAGAGAAAGAGAAGACCAAAATAAATAAAATCAAAAATAAAAATGAAAAATTTAAAACAGATGACTCAGAAAAAAAGGATCAAAAGGGACTATTATGAATAATTATACACCAACAAATTGAATAACCTAGAGGAAATGCATGAATTCCTAGAAAAATACAACCTACCAAGATTGAGTTAGAAACAAATAGACTGAACACACCAATAACAAATATAGAAATTGAAAAAGTACTTTTAAAAATCTCTCAATAAAGTAGGACCAGATGGCTTCATAGCTGAATTCTACAAAGCATTCAAAGAAGAACTAATATGAATACTTGTTTCAACTCTTCCAAAAAATAGAGTTTGAGGGAATACTTCCAAACACATTTTATGAGACCAGGATCACCTTGATATTTAAGCCAAAGATACCATAAGAAAAGAAAACTATAGGCCAATTTCTTTGAGGATTTTTGGATCAATATTTATCAATGAAAAACATTAGCAAAACAAATCCAGCAGCACATGCAAAGATTATATATTACAACTAAGTGAGATACATCCGTGACATGAAAGGCTGATTTGTCATATCCAAATCAATGTGATGTATCACAGTAATAAAATGAAAGGTAAAGCCACATGATCATCTCAAATTCAAGTCAGAAAAAGCATCCAACAAAGTCTCATTTTTTTTAATAAAAACCTCAACAGTCTATAGAAGAAAAGTTCCTTGATGAAATAAGGCCATTTGTGAAAAACCTACAGTGAAATCAATGGGACAAAACTGGAAGCTTTTCCACTAAGATCTTGTACAAACCAAGAACACTCACTTCTATTCAACAAAGTACTGGAAGTACTAGGAAGAACAGCAAAAAAATAAAACGTAACTAAATGGGAAAGGAAGACTCTCTCCTTGTAGCTGACATGATTCTATATGTAAAATTCTTCAAAGATTTCACACACACACACACACACACACACACACACACACACAAATACAAGCTATGAAAACTAATATATGGATTCAGTGAAGTTGCAAGCTATAAGATCAACATAAAAACATCAGTAGTATTTTTACACACAAATAATGGCCTAATTGGTAAAGAAATCAAGAAAGCAATCTCATTTATCACAGCACCAAAAATAATTAACTCTCTAGGACCAAATTTAACCAAAGCAGCAAAAGATCTATACACAGAAAAGCCAATGAGAAAAGTGGGCAAAAGATCTGAATAGACATAACATTGAAAACATTAAAATGGCTAGCACATAGATGAAAAGATGCTTCACATCATTAATTATCAGAGAAATGCAAATCAAAACCACTATGTGATGCCATCTCACTCCCACTAGGATGACTTTTATTAAAAAGTCAAAGATTAAATTGAAGGGGTTGCTCAGTGATAAAGCATTTGCAAGGCCCTGGGTTGATCCTCAGCACTGAAAAAAGTTAAGTTAAAAAATCAAAGATAGCAAATGTTGGCAAAAGTGTGAAGAAAACCGTTAGTGGAAATGTAAATTGGTATAGCCATTTTTGAAAAACGGTATGAAAGTTTCTAAAGAAATTAAAAATATAACTACCCTATGACCCAGCAGCCCTCCTCTGAGCATATACCCAAAGGAAATAAAATCACTACATCTCAAAGAATATCTGCACTCCCATGTTCATTGCTTTACCATTCACAATAGCAAAGATTATACAATATTTTTCATAGAAATAGAAAAATCAATCATAAAATTCACATGGAAACATAAAAGAGCCCTAATAGCCAAAACAATTCTTAGAAAGATAAACAAAGTTAGAAGTACTACACTTCCTGATTTAATATTATATTGCAAAGCTGTAGAATCATTGCCATTCTACACAAAATGGAATTTTATTCAGTACTAACAAATAATGTGATATTGCTGTTTGCCAAAACATGGATGAAGCTGAGGATGTTACACTGAATGAAACAAGTTAACCACAGAAAAAAAAATATTTCATGATTAATATGAAAAATATATTTCATGATTACTTAAATGAGGTGTCTGACTTCATATCTGTGCGAATTCAGAAATATTCAGAGGTGCAATGATTTGATTATGAAAGCTGTAACCTAATCAGTCCATCTTAGTTTGAGTGTACTAACTGGGTAGTAACTATAGGCAGGTAAGCTGTGGCTGAAGGAGGTGGGTCAGCGGAAGCATGCCCTGCAAGGGTTCATTTTCCCTGCATCTCTTTCCTCTGGCCCTCTGCCTCCTGGCTGCCAGGAGTTGAATAGCACTTTTCACCATGCCCTTTACCATGATGTTCTGCCTTATCTTAGACCCAGAGTTGGTTGATCATGGAATGAGCCTCTGAAACCACGAGCCAAAGTAAACTTTTCCTTCTCTAAGTTGTTCTTGTCAGGAGTTTGTGTTAGTCGGATGTTTGTCACTGTAAACAACGAGATCATGAAGGTGGTTCTCTAGTGAGAGCTTGAGTATGTTTTTAAGATGAGGAAGGGTCCTGAACTAGCACTTTTGCTCTGTCTCGCCATGCAATGCGCTCAGTCGTGTTTTGATGCAGCAAGAAAGCCTTACTAGATGCTGAGTAGATGCATCATGCTCTTGAACTTCCCAGCCTCCAGAATGGTGAGTTAAATAAACTCCTCTTCTTTTAAAATTATCCAGTCTGTGGTATTCAGTTACAGCAATAGAAAATGGACTAAGGCAGTTACTCAAGGGGAAAATTTGAATATTAGAACATCATTTAACTCATTTGTAGTTTAATTTTAAAGACAGCAGAATTGTATGTATGTGCATGTGTGTGTATTTTAATTGTCTTACTAGTAAGTAGAGATATATACACTGGAATCAATAAGGTTTAAAGTCTTACACTTTAAAAATGTGTATTTTTTAATCATGGAGAGGTTTTCCAATACATCTTATAGGCAAGTAACAGATCCAAAATGTTTTCATTTTTTAAAATATTCTTATCTGCCAAGGAGTACTGAAATCCTCAAATTTTTATTTAATTCATTTTCAAATACCACTTTGTTAAAGGTCTCTGTAACAGACTTAAAAGAAAGGCTATAAACTAATTCAAGCTTTACATTATTATATTCTTTCTGCATATTCTTTAAATGAAGAGGAAAGGTCTAGGCATAAGTTGGAATTTTTGTCAACCCAGACACAGTATTAGAGACATATACTTTTTTCATTCCCAGATTTCATCTTCCCTGGATTACTAGGAAATGATAAAGTGAAAGAAATCAAAATGTCAGAAGCAGAAGGAAGGTAAACTGAAGTGATCTACTGACCCCACTGGCCATGATTTACCTAAGAAGTCAGTCACTTTGAGTATCCATGAGTCGAAGACCACTTTGTGTTGTTGAGAATCACCTCCACATAATCTCCTGGCTGAGGCAAATGAGTTAAATCTCAAATGCTAGTAATACAGTATATTGGTCAAACACAATAGATTCAATCTTGACCATCCCTGAGAAACTTTCAGATGAAGAAGCATTTCCAAAGAGAACAATTGTGTAAAAAGGATCTGACAATCTTTCTTACTTATCAATGAATTTTTCAAATAAAACTTATAAGAAATAATTACATTTTCCTACCCCTTAGGCTCATTTGAACTAAAATAAAATTTCAAACATACAACCTGGTAAATAGCACTATATATCCTGCTCATTCAACCTGGGGTTACCAAAACCTTCCTGGTGTCGTCATCAAGACAGCTCTGATTCACCTATTATACTGTTATTTTCTCCCAGGAAGACTCAGGCCAAGATGAAATGGGACTAAGGTGCAGCACAGAGAAAAGGAGGAATATGGAAAGCACTGGAAGGCTGGAAGGCTGGAAGGCTGGGAGTGGAAATGGGCTAGGCTGAGAGGGAATTTAATGGGAGATCCTGAGCCCAAGAGCAACAAAATGACAAAAGGCTAGGATGGCCTTTTATAAGAAATTGAAAAAAAAAATGGGTAAACAGATCAAAAGCCGACTTCACTTCATCCACCACTCTATCTCCAGCATGTCCTACTCTTCCAGGCTTAGAGCAGCAACTACAGGCAGGTGGGGAGAGGGCCAGGAGTACACAATTATCTATCTGCCTATACCAATGCACCTTCCTTCCCCCATGTCAGCTAACGTTTCCTTAGAAAGCAGAGCACAAACAGAATACCTGTGGGTTGATGAAGAAGTATAAACAGGCAGAGAATAGCAAGGCACCTGTTACACCTCCCTTCTTAGGGGGTCATTCTTGCAGCACTTTCTGGGTTCCTGCAGGCTGTTTTAGCTTTTCATTATGTAAAGGTAACCCTCCCACATCCTGTTACTTCAGAGATGGTGGGGGTCTGTACTCAACTATCACAAACTCAAGACCCTGTTGGTGTAGAAACGTCGTTCGCATTAGTTTCTTTGGGGACTGGAGGAGGACCTGGGATAATCGAGGTGGGTGGGGCTAAGCCGTAGGGGGACAGCGTAGATAAAGGACTGCAGCTGTAGGCCGACTGCCTGTTTGCCACGTCATCGTCCACCAGGGAAAGAAGAGCAGAGAATCGGGACGCTATCCCCAGGGGCTGCGCTTGCAGAACCCAGGAACCCAGGAGCTCACCAGGACGCCCCCTGCTATCCTCCCCGGGACCTGCTTTCTTCCTTCGCCCAGACCTTGAGAGCAAACGCCCCAGGCAGAGGCGTTGTAACAGCCACCCTTGGACAGCGCAGCCCTCGAAACAGAAAACGATTCTCCGGCAGCGGCCACCAGAGGGCACCTGTGGGCGACGCCCTGGGCTGAACCCTGCGAAAAGAAAAATCGTGAGAGGCGGGGCCAGGGGCTGGAGCGGCGGAAAAGCCCTTCGCTGCTCTCGGCAGTGCGTCTCGCCCTTTCTTCTCACTTCCTGTCCCACTTCTAAGACTCGCTTCCAGACTGGCTTTCTCTGGGACCGCGAAGAGCCGCCCTCTGCTCCCGGCCCGGCACGCTGAATCCCCCCCGCCCCTCAAGGATGCATTACCTAGTGCCGCGGTCACCGTCACCGTCACAGGCACCCTCAACCCCACCCCCCAGCCCGTCCCCAGCCCCTCTCTCTCCCTCACCCGCACCTGTTCGCAAGCTCCCGGGGATCCCAGGTGCGGGCAACCGGGAAATTCCACGCCCCGCGGAGACCCGCCAGCTCTGGGGAGGGGAAAGGGGGACGCGCAATCCAGTGACGCTCCCGGGCAAATATCCCAGGTGTGTTTGAACCTCAGCATGCTCGGCCACTGCTCCCAGGACCTGGCCAGTGCACCCCTTTGGTTCCCCCCAAGTTCAAGGGAGGGATACGCGGGTACCCGACCAGTCTGGGAACCCGGAATCCCATATGGAGTCCTATTCATGCTGTACAACTGGGTCTCCGCCTTTTTGCAATGGGATTCTTGTCCAGAATCCGCGAATCTTCTAGGAGGGCAGTTGTTGGTTTTGTTAGAATGAGAAGTTTCCTTGATTTTTAGAAAGACCACGGGGGTAAAATTCAGCTGAGTGTTCTTGAATAGTTATGATTAAATTTGAAGCAACAACTGAATTTCAGTCGGTTGTCTTCGAAGTAGTAAATTTGTATGGACCTATTGGCCGGCAGTGTAGTGTGCAGACTCTTAGAAACATCTTCCACTTTGTGGATTTGTTTTAGTTGAAACTCATTTCCACAGAACTTAAATTGCTATTTCTTACTGATTTGACATCCGAGGATCCACAGACTTTCCTGGATTGCAGCCACGGGTTAAAGGGCTTGGTGGTACAAAACATTTTTCCGGCCCAGTTTCCCAAATTTGCCCTCTTTTTCTCTTCTAGATTGTGCCTTTTTAGCCAAGAAGTATGGAGGTGATTCATGGCAGGCCCTACTGTTGCAGGGAGTTAGAAAGAGCTGACATTCTCTCAGACACTTTGTTCTCTGATGAACTGCACACTCCGCTACTATCAACCACTCGCCCAACTGCCTCAGAAGACAGGTAAAACAAAAATTAGAAGCAACAGCTTTAAAAATGGTTTTAATATATTAGTGTATTTTTTATGCGAAAATAAAAAGTAAAAATTTGTTCTGGGGCTCTTGTGTTTATCACATCATGGAAGGGAAAACTGACCATGTAGTGTCCTTATTTGTTAGGAATTTGGTGAAAGTAAGTTGAAGTGTAATTTGATTCAGACATCAAATTCTTCACTACATTCTAGAACTCTAGAGTGGTCACTTCCATCATTTAAAAATTAATTTTAGTCAAGATTTTTTGTTTTATGAAAAGTATTTGTGGTAGTTCACTTTCATCCTCTAACACCATCTGCTCAAAAATTCTCCCAGGATTTGTTGCTCATAGTTACTGTCTGAATATCTGCTTTACAAAATTTCCTATAACATATTACTCATTATGATTAAAATCTAACATATGGAGTGATTACTGTGTGTCAGCACTGTACTAAATGCTTTATGTGCAGTAATTCTTTTAATCCTCATGATAACTTTATGAGATGCATACTATTATCCCCATTTTACATATGAACAGATACAGACAAGTAATTTACCAAGAACTTAGTGTCTGCATTTCCTATATCTGATTTACTTGAATTATTTTGAGAGAGGGGGAAAAAAAATCTCAAAACACTAGGTGAATAGCCTGTGTCGTCATGTTCCCATTTTGTGATTCAGACTCTGAGAAACATCTTAAACTGTGGATTTGTTTCAGCTGAAATTTTTAATTGGCCATATTTCTTATTTAAGAATTATTTTTAGAAACTCAGACAGAAAATCACCTACCCTCAGTTTGAAAATTTCCAAAATAGGACATCACTACCATGAAAATAGTTCATTACATTTTTTTTGTTGTTGCTGTTTATTGTTTTATTTTTTTAGTTGTAGTTGGACACAATACCTTTATTTATTTATTTTTATGTGATGCTGACGATCAAACCCAGGGCCTCGCACATGCTAGGTGAGCACTGTACCACAACCCCAGCCTACATTACATTTTTTAATGTTCTTGATTATTAGATAATTCTTTCTAATGAGAACATATTTTTTTCCTTGTAATTTCTACCTGCTGATTCTGATTCTTCCCTCTGAAGCCATGAAAATAATAAAACTCGGCATCCCCATGCTAGCAACCCTTGAAGAGTTTGAAGACTCTTTTGGCCCCTTTACAGGTTCTTGTTGCCAGATGCAACAGCATTCTCCCAGATTTTGCTCTGCTTGCATTGAGGCTTTCACCTTGATCAGACTTAATGGATCTATTCCAGTTTATGGATATACTATTTACATTAAGAAAAAGAAAGGTTTTTCTTTAGAGAGAATTTTTTTTAATATTTATTTTTTAGTTCTCGGCGGACACATCTTTGTTGGCATGTGGTGCTGAGGATCGAACCTGGGCCGCACGCATGCAAGGCGAGCGCGCTACCGCTTGAGCCACATCCCCAGCCCAAGGTTTTTCTTTTAATTACAAAGCTAATGTGCTCTTTGCACATAATTTGGAAACCGAAAAAAATCCAGAGAAAACAAATTCTCCATTTATCCAACAGAAAAAAAATATGAATTAAAGAACAAGGAAGAAAACTTGTATACATCTTTTATCCAGAAACAGTAATCACTGAAATTTATAACTCAATGTTTCTTCTTAATTTTTTTTAAATGTAAAGATCATATTCAACAAAATTTTTTGTAAACTGATACTATTAATGAAAAAGAATATTTTTATTTGGAGAGGAAAGGGCTCAGTTCACTTCTATTCTGCATCAGTCCTTGCTGCTCCTATTCTACTGCTGTAATATGATTCATAAGAGTAGCTTTCAGGTCAAAGTTCTAGCTTTTTTTCCATTCCAAAGATCATCAGATTAGGGAGAGCTTCCCTTGAGCAGATGATCCCTGTAGCAGATCATGTTTGACCTGGGGATAGGCAGTTGTCCCTGACAAAAATAGCAATGTATACTTGGCCAAAAAGAGACGGGTAAGAATTTAGGCTGACTAATTCACTGTACCTTCAAAAAGCATTCATTAGGCAGGTACAGTGGTGCATGCCTATAATTCCAATGACTTGGGATGCTGAGACAGTAGTATCACAATTTGAAGGCCAGCCTCAGTGACTTAGTGAGGCCCTGAGCAACCAGGTGAGACCCTGTCTCAAATTTTTAAAAAATAGAAAGGGGTTGGGGATATGGCTCAGAGGTTAAGTACCCTTGGGTTCAATCCCCAGTACCAAAAATAAAAGCAAAAGCACTCATCAGTAGCTTTTCACTGAAATATTGATTCCTTTACCTAAGTGGTCTGTGGTTGGGCGATGTTTGACTCCAAAATCCCTTAACTAGTGTAAGATTCAAAAGGAACACATTTGAGAAAATACTGCCTTTCATTAACTGTAAAATTAAATACACATCTGGTCAGCTAGTTATAAACTGCCATAAAAGATTATTTGAAACAATACTTAGATATCAAGGATATGCTTGGCTCCTAATAACTAAAACTTACTTTCCCTTTTCATGTGAATTCTTTCCTTTCACAGTCCCCTGATTGAGAAAGCCAGGATGATCATGTGTCCTCAGAATCTATCTTAACTCCCTCTTAAAAAGCAGATAGTTTACATAAGATTCACTTTTCCCTAAATTTTATACTTCTGAACTTCTCTGGAAAGTTCTGTTATCGTCAGGATAACAGTAGCACCTCCTCCCTATCATTGCTGAGGCTTGCTTCTTCAGAACAAATTCTGGGTCTATGACTCCCAATGCAAACCATAGGGCTTTTGTAAGTGAAACAAAACAAAACAAATCAAAAAGCTCCTGGTTTTTAGGGACTGTCCATCCTAATGATAAGGGTGAACCTGAATCACAGCATACATAAGCTCTCAGCAGCTCAATTTCCTAAACACAGGTCAACTTTTTAACCCTTTTAAAATATGAAGTATTTTGAAATAACTTGGCAATTTTAATAGTGATGTAAAATGGTTCTCAAATAAGGCACCTCATTTCTGTTTTTGTACTAGACAACACCATCTAGCTGCATTGTTACCTAGGACTGGTTTGCAGACAAGGGTATATCAAAATCACCTGAGGTGGGGGCTGGGATTGTGGCTCAATGGTAGAATGCTCGCCTAGCACATGCGAGACGCTGAGTTCAATCCTCAGCACCACATAAAAACAAATAAATAAAATAAAGGTATTGTGTCCAACTACAACTAAAAAAAAAAATTTTTTTTTTAAAAAGTCATCTGAGGATCTTTCTGAAAATACTCATCACCAGGCTCCATCTGTATGTAGTCTGACTCACTAGGTCTTACAGCAAGGAAGTTCTATATTTTTTTAAAAGTTTTTAGTTCATTTTGTGAATAACTGGGCTAGCAGAAAACACTGGAAACAGAAATAAAACCAAGATTCTATTTGGATTATGTTTCTGGCTTACCCACAATCAAGAGCAAATTAATAATCTTTATACCCAGTACTTCAATTACTTTACTTTACTTGTATATTTTATAACAATTATTGTAGTCACTATTTCATACACCTTCACTTGATCTCTTTTAAGAATATTAAGTACATAAACAGGTAGTGTATTATTTTGTATTTCTTTTATTGAAAATTTAACAGCGGCAGTGACAGCTACTCAAAATCATCACAGATTCCTATTTCCTTTTTCCATTCACCTGACTTCTTACCTCTTGCAAGTTATCAAATTCATTAGGCAAACAAACATTACTTAAGGAAGTATCTTGATATTTGCTTAGTATTTCATTATTGGTTCCCATTTTGCTTCTGAATTTACTTCATTGCTTTCTGATTCTTTAATATTTTTTATTATTAGTGTTCTAACTGAAAAGGAATGTGTTATATTTGTCGTTTTCCTTTAATCCTGCCTCCCAATAATTTGTAACTAAATTTAGCCCTTTTGATATGGGATATGGTACTTAAAATTCTATACAATAACTTCAAATGAGACACTGGTTCATCCACAGAAAATGCATCTTTCCTCAAAATAAGTATGATAACTTAATTTCTATTGGCTATAGATTGCAGCATCAGTAATTTGATCATTATCCTTTTTGTTATGGAGATGTGTTTTGTTTAAACTTTTAAATTATTTTCATCTGAAAACCTCATATTTTAACGTGGTTCCTCCTATATAGTACTTTAAGCATTATAGGGTGGGAGGCCATAAGACCCTAAAATAAAAGAGAAACATGACTAATTTTGCATTGTCCTTTATTTTTAAATGGCTCTTTGCAATTTACCACCTATAGGTGGATGCCAGCTCACATGATTGATTAACATTTTCTACTGGCTTGCTTATCCTCTGGGACAGAGTAATATATGGGGGTCAAATGTTGAGAAATGGACTCATTTATGATTTAAATGTAACTTTTACAGAGCTAAATATTAAAGCTTAGTTTGTCATTAATCACATGTATTTAAATATTTTTCACTTGTCATGTCCTCCAAACCATGACTATTGATCATAGTCAGACCTCAAAGGCCCTATCAGCTCTCTGACAGCTGAATACCAGCATCCCTCTATGGCACCCAAAATTGATAGTCACCAAGACTCTCCTTGACTAACTAGTAGCAGGGGTTGGTAAACTTTTTCTTTAAATAATCAGATATTTTAGAATTTACTATCTCTGGCACAACTACTCCATTCTACCATAACAAGGCAAAAGCAGCTAAACACTGTAGACAATGCTTAAAAGAATGGCTGTTGGCCGCATTCGGATAAAATAATTATTTACAAAAAACAGGTAGTGGGTTGGATTTAACCTATAGGCCATAGTTGGCCAACCTTTGGTCTAATGACTTCATAAGACAGTACAATCCTGAGTGTTACTTCTTCATTCCATTCAGTACTTTTTATAGGGGGATTACATTAAGCCAAGCACTGTACTGACACAAAGAAAAACATGGCACAGTTTCTGACTCTGAGCTCCCATTTCATGTCTCTGACTGGCTCTCCATTGCTCTTATAGTATAGTCCAATATTGCCCTTTTTTATCCTTTCATGCTTCACCTCTCATCATAGCTTTTCTCTACTGTGTCCTAATATCCTGAACATAGTCCAAAATTCAACCCTAGTTTCACAGCCCTTCAGATCTGAGTGATTCTCCTGAAAGCTTTGGGGAACTCCTCAAACTTTATTCAAATTCCTAGGATGAGAATGGGGTGGCACTTTAGAATCTTGTCCCATCTGAATTTGGGTTCCTGGTTCCACTTACACTGATCCTATTCAGCAACCTATTGACCCTGGGGCAAAACTTAATTCAGTTTTCTCAAAAATCATTCCTCAGTTTTCTCCAAAGATCTCATCCAAACAGAGCATTTGTGAGCCTGGTAAACTTTACTGAACTGTTGAGGAACAAGTAGATCTTTTATAATATTTGTACTATTACTTTACAGTACTCTCCATTTGAAAAAAAAGTTAAGATGATCTCTAGACAAGACAATGAGGAATTCTTTTCCACAAATGGTGCTGGAACATTGGATTTCGACATGCAAAAGAATAAATTGATTCCTTATCTCATACCATATATAAAGATTAACTTGTCATCAATCAAAACTCTAAGAAGAAAACAGGGATAAATCATCTTGGATTTGACAATATATTCTTAGCTGTTACACCCAAATCAAGCAAAATGAAACAAATTGAACTGCATGATAATTAAAAACTTTTGCGTTTCCATGATACTATCAAGTAAGCAAAAAGAAATGTATATCACAGGAGAAAATATTTGCATGTCATATCTAACAGAGATCTGTATCTATGATATATAAAGAACTCTTACAACTCAAAAATAAAGCTAATAACTTGATTTAGAAATACAAAGGATCCAATAAACTTTTCTCCAAAGAAGATATACAAATGGCCAATAGTAACATGAAAAAAATTCAAATATCATTAGTCATTTGGAAAATGCAAATCAAAACCAAAATAATACTTCATACCTATTATTAAATGGGCTATAATAAAAATTATCTTTTTAAACACAATAACAACTGTTGGCAAGAATGTGGGGAAATTGACTCTCATACAATACTGGTGGAAATTTAAAAATGGAGAAACTGCAATAGAAAACAGTTTGACAGTTCCTTAACAAATTAAACTTAGAATTTCAATATAACTCAGACATTTAGCTTCTTCATATACTCCATAAAAGTTAAAAACAAGTATTCAAACAAAAACTTGGACATGCGTATTCACAGTGGCATTGTTCCCAAGAGTCAATTATCCGACAACTGATGAACAGCTAAACAAAATGTGGTATATCCATATATTGGAATGTTATATGGCTATTAAAAAGAACAAAGTACAGACACATGCTACAACATGGATGAACCTTGAAACCATTATATTAAGCACATCAGAGGCCAGGTGCAGTGGCACACACCTGTAATCCCAGCAACTTGGGAGGCTGAGGCAGGAGGATTGCAAATTCAAAGACAGCCTCAGCAACTTAGTGAGGTCCTCAAAAGAAGAAAAAGGGCTGTAGATGTTGCTCAGTGGTTAAGTACCCCTGAGTTCAATTCAAAGTACCAAAAAAAGAAAAAAAGGCCCATCAGAAAAGACTACATATTATATAATTCAATATATATCATTCAATTTATATGAAATGTCCAAAATAGGCAAACCTATAGAGCAAGAAACTAGATTAGTAGTTGCTTAGGGCTGGAAGGATAAAAGAGGTATAGTGGATGAAGACTTAAGAGTACAGATTTTTTTTTTTTAGATGATGAGAATATTCTAAAATTGTACATATCTATCTGTAAATAAACCAAAAATCATTGAATTATATATCCAAAGTTGATTAATTCTATAGCATGTGAGTTATTCTCAATATTATTTTAGATAAATATACTACCACTGTTTGGTGGCAGGGAGATAATCTGTAGGAATTCAGGAATTTAACCTCAGTTCTTGGGTAGTCCCATGATGCCTAAATACCCAGAAAGTATCATAATACACCCAGTACTGAGAATTCTCTGTTCTATCTAAAAATACTTAAGAAGAAATGAAAATTTTAATTGTTGCTGAACAATTTCAAGTCTCTTTTATTCTAACAGGTATCAGGAATTAAAGGAGTCACTCCACCAATGTAAGCTTCCATGGGGTGCTGAAAGGGAATATGGTGGGATTATACCGATTTCGCTGCCTGATGAACACAGGCCAAAATATGAACCTCCTTGTGTCATGAGCAAAGGACATCAGCATTATGGATTTGGTGGAGAAACCTGGCCAAGGTAACTAAACTTGCTGCTATTCACAAAAAGATTGTTATTATCCATTTTCTCTATTTCTATTGAATCTTTTGTAAACTTAAATATGCCTCCAAACTAATTTCTTTTACTAAGAATAAAAAGACACAGTAAAATTAATTATATGATTTCTAATCATGAAATCATAAAAAGCCTGTTTATTAAATATTTTAATGTTCTTAGAGATGATAAAGTATTCTAAAAAATTCTGATTAACTTAATTCCCTTACTTATCACATCTTACCTAAAATCAAGTGAGAATATGAGAGAAAAATGAATATTAAACATGTTTTTTGTCTGAACAAAGAATTAGCCTAATTTGTGCAAATGTTCTTGGTTTTTGGAACTTTTGATTTGTAATTTTTTCACCAATCTTTGTAGTCATTAAAATTCTCTGTTAAATGTTTTCAAAAGTATTTATGTATTTCAATAATAACATAAATTTTTAAAGTCACTTTCAGCAACTCTATTCACAGAAGTTAAAACTGAAGACAAAGCAAAAAAATTTGAGCAGGAAATTAAATTTCAAATTGAATATTTATTAAAGATTACTTAATTTTAATTATGAAATTCAGAGAATAACCCATCAAACCATGGCACAAAGACTACTTTCTTCTTTTTTATCTAACAATACTGATTACCTGGTTTACTAACAGTCTAGCTAGTTTTTTTGTTTTATAACAAGCAAAAGAAGTAAAACAGATAAGATAAGCCATAGCTAGAGAGAGAAACATTAAAAATAGGGACATATGTGGCTGATAATCTTATCAAGACCTCAGTAAATCAGTAAAAAGCTGACAGACAAAAAGGCCCAACAGAGAGAGAGAGAGAGAGAGAGAGAGAGAGAGAGAGAAAGAGAGAAAGAGAGAGATTGAGATTGATCCTTGTCCTCACCAGGGACAAAAACCCAGACATGCCCTCAATGATGCACCTCCTCCAGCCACACTTTACTTGCCTGTAATTACTACCCAGTTAATCTCTCTCAGGTGATTAACGTGTTGATTGGGTTATGAGAGTCTTAATCTAATTATTTCACCTCTAAATTTTTTTGCATTGTCTCACACATGACCTTTTGGGGCACCTAATATCTACACTATAAAACTCATCATTTATTCATTTATCTATTCAGTAATTTAAGTATAGCAAGTATTGTTTTACAGACTTGGTTATAACTCTTTATGGAGTTTAATCTAAGCTATTGTCCTCCAAAATTTGAATATTAAATAATATGCAGTTGTATAAAGAATTAGAAATATTTGCATAGAATTTCAGTGTGTAAAAAGAAGGCCAAAGATTATTTTCTTAACAAGAATCCAGCTTGAAGTGAAAAGTTTGTGTTGTTCTTGCTGAATGCAGCCCCAAAACACTAAAAAAAGAAATACTTGTTTCATTTAGAATGCCTATCACCCCTGACTCACAAATGTAGGTTAATGTCTTTCATTCTTTTCATGCCTCTTTATGTTAAATATTATAATTTTAGCATATTCCTCTCTTAAAAATATATTTAGGACAAATTTCTGTCTTCATATAATTGCTAATTGCTTGGCAAACAACTACAGAATAGGATTCACCTTGTTTCCTAACAAGGAATAACTGCTGTTATCATATTTTTCTTTCTCCCTTAAAAAAAAAGCCTTTTATACAAAAATAACAATGTTTTACAGCTCTCTTTATGGGTGAAGCCTCAATTTTAAAACTTTTTTTTTTTAAAAAAAAAAAAAAAAGGTTTTCTCTAGCAACCACACCCTACCACCTCCTTTGGTAGGAGGTTTTGTGAGAAACAAGATCACTTTTTTGTCTTACCAACTCTCTGTCCTGTGCCTTTGGAAATGAAAAGTACCTACTCCTTTGGAAAAGGTCCAGGAGGTGAGACATCCTAAAGTATGTCATTTGGGGTTAAGAAATTTTTTTAAAAAGCATTACTTACTAAAGAAAATGTAGTTACCTGTGTTTCTATACACATGTTCCGATACAATGTCCATATAATGCCACATGGGGCATTGCTGCCCCTTCTGAGTCTTCCTGACATAAAAGTATCAAAGTAAAACTCCTTTAAAGGACTTTAGTAATATTTACTTACCTATAATATGCAAGTTTCAGAAATTCCAAGTGAGATCAGTCATCATCCAATTCAGCATCAATTCACTGAAGGAACAAAATCACAAAGTAATGAAAATGTATAACTTAGTGTTCACTTCCATAAACATTGATTTAAGTTTAGTAAAGTAGTAAAATTGTTCATTTTAGAAAAGGAAATTCTTCCTTTAAGCTACTGGTTAAAAGCTCTTAAAATAGAGCTGCAGTACTCTATGAACTAAAGGATACTCTGAATTTCCTGACAACTTTGATTTTTCTAGTTTAATAATAATACTGAAAGGTATTATGAATGATTTCATAAAGCAAAATTTCTCCTTAATAAAATTTGTACTTGTTTACTCTTTTATCAGCAGCCAGTCACCAATGAAAGTCAAACAACCTATGCCATTCAATTTAATAAGTGGCATATATTGCAAAGTGTTTAGCACCTTTGGCTCTTGACCTGGAAATACTAGTTGCATCCTAAATTCATTGTGACAACCAAAGTAAACCACCCCATATATTCCCATACTCTCCTGGAAATGTTGGGGCCCAAAGGGAAACAGTATGATTGTTTGAGAATCATTATACCTAACCCAACTCCTATATTCCAAATGCATATTGAGACAAGGTGAGCCTAAAAACCCCTGCAATTCTCTAGTTTGAAGAGATTAAAAGAGTAGGTTATCCTGTTAGTAAGGGGAAAAATCTTGAGAGAGACAAAGAGGCTGATGGTGACTGGGAAAATCATTGTTCTACATTATTATTCTATTGCATATCAATAATTTCTGCAATATCTGAATGGATTCAGTGCTCACCAGCATTCCTTTCTTTCTTTCATCTTAAAAGGATAGTCATAGGTACTGGCACTGAGGTACATGAAAGGTGCAGTACCTTCTCTACATTTTGCAGTTTCCCACATTTGGAACATCCCCTTGCCCAAGTAAGATCCAGAAATCCACTTCCCAGCCTCCCTAGCATCCAGGGTGCAAATGTGTACACAAAAATTCTACTGATCACCCACATCTGCAGTGGATACTGATTTGCAGGTGAGTAACTATGTTGGATAGATCAGATTCACAGTACCGACTCACTAATAAAATACAGAGTGAGCATTCAAAAGATATGGGGCAACCACAATGACAGGTGAGTACTACAATACGTCTGAAAATATTACAGGTGAGGCCAGCCTCTTCCCTCCCTCCTAGAGGGAACTACAGTTACCAATTTGGTGTGTCTCCTTCCATACCTTCTGTTACCTGTTTACATAGTTATGCATGTGCCCACTGAAATTTTATGGTGTTATTTTGTTTATATGTGAAATCATTTGATATATAGTGTTAAGCAAGTTGATGTTTTTTTTTTCTTCACAATCTAGAGATAGTCCTTTGTCAATAAACACAGATCTACTTTATTATTTTTAATTTTCTCATAATGTTCCACAATGTTTCACAGGTTATTTGACCACTCACATAGTTCTTTGATCCTTGCACAAATGTTTCCATAGGGCATATCTTCAGTGAAAGTTCTGGGTCATAATATAAAATATTCAAAATATGAATTTTTAATTTAGTAGATGTTCTAGATATCAATCCCTTCTATGTTATTTTTATTTCTTCCAATTTTTGTTTTATTTAAGCTCTTTGTAGTGTCCATTGTCTTATCAATGTGCTTTTGGCTTTTGAAAGAAACATCTTATTTAAAAGGCCCTCTTTACCAGCTTAAAAAAAAACATATTCCTATACATTTTCTTTCTTTCTTTTTTAAAATTTTTAGTTGTAGTTGGACACAATGCCTTTATTTTATTTGTTTACTTTTATGTCGTGCTGAGGATCAAACCCAGTGCCTCACACATGCTAGATAAGCATTCTGCCACTGAGTTACAGCCTCAGCCCTTTCTTTTTTAATATTTGTATAGATTTATCCTCAATTCTTTGGATTTTTAATGTATCTGAAATTATCTTTTTGAATAATGTAGAGATGTATTATTTCCAAATGGGTAGTGAATTTTTCTTGTACTGTTTATTGAAAAATATATACTTTTCAAATAATTTAAAATGCCATCTTTTCATATATTGTTTCTATATATTCATGATTGTATTAATCTACTTATCTTTTATAGTCTCCCCATTATACTGTGTTAATTTAAAAAGAGATTCAATTTAATATTTTCTTTCTTTTCAGAAAACTTCCTATTGAACAATACTATTATTTGACACAGAACCAAAAAAGTGACGTCTATGGAAATGATTCCTTGTAAGTCAGAGGTCCCCCTTCCCCTTACATGGGATCAAATAGTAATTTAAGTGGAAATTAGTTATATGAGAAACAAAAAAGCCCCCACATGGGAACTTTTAGAGAATTCTTCCTTTTTATTAAAATAGTGATCATTAATATTAGAAAATTTTAAAAAGCAGCAGCAGATAAACCAAAAGAAAGGATTTGTAGCATTTAAACCAGTAAACAAAGAGTAAGAAATAATGATAGTAATGTTCAAAGAGATTCCTACACATCATCTTGATTCATGTTTTTACCTTGACCTACTTATTCAATATAATAAAAATCTGTTATATTTCTATTTCATTAAAAAAAAATTACAGAAAATGCCATAATGGCCCTCAACAAATTTTGAACTGAAACTTCATAATAAAAGAGAATTGTTATGGTTATCTATAAGTAACTCTTTTAAAAATTACTGAGTATCTTTTTTGGATAAGAAATACTAATTTAGCCTGCGCTTAAGGTATTATGTTCTAGTATATTAAATTATTTTTACTCTTTGAAAAAAATGGTTTTTCATGTATTACTAAGTCATGCATTTTTATTTTTTGTAAAATAAGAATAAAATATTGACACTACTGAAATGACAATGAAAATATTTTTTTATCTTTATTAAGATTTGTTGGTTGTTTTCAAATTAAGGTGATACAGTATAAAATTTAGCCACTAGAGGGAGCCAAAAAGATAAAATTAGCATTTGCTTATCTCTTTGGGTTTAGTTAACTTTGCAAAGGAGATAATGGAGTACAGCAATAGGATTGAATAACTGGTTGGATCAAGCAAGTGGTGTCTCTGAGCATTTCATTTTATTTTAATTTTATCTTTAAATTTTGAATTTTTAAAAAAGATTTTTTAAAAAAATTCTTATTTTTTTCATTTTGAATCAAATCAATTTTAGTCATATACTTATCAACATCACAGCAAAATTTGTCACATGAGAGCAATTTTAGATGCCAAGTTAATATTTAATATATAGTAGTAAATTGTAACTCTATATACCTTGGATTCATCGTTCATCCCCATCTCCAACCCAACAATATAACTGGAAGAGAGGAAATCACTTTTCTTTTTAGTTCCACACCCACATACTTAAGAGTCCAAATAAAGACATAAACATTTATGATTCATGAGAATTGTGTATTTATAACACATGCTAGAGTAACAAAAGTTCTATGACTTATATATCACTTTGTAGTGAATATGTAGAAACATCTAAAAATTATTCAAGTGTATTCAGTTTTATCAACTTTTACTATCAAATTTATGGCATTCTGTTCATTTTTCATGTCTGAAATCTTTCAGAATCTTATTTACATAGGATAAAACTAATAGCTGAAATCATATAAGTGGGTAACTATCCCTCTCTAGTAAACTTTTCCCCAAGGCTATAGTATTATTTCTTGGAAAGCAGTGTTTCAAATAATTAAATACACAACCTTGTAATGAACTAATTTGGAAAGGCAAACCTCCAGGAACTTTGTCAGTTTTGTTCTATCCTTTCATAGCAACATTTACTATCATGAGAGATCAGCAACTCTGGGCAAAGGGACAAAGTATACCCATTATCTACTTATCTTCCCAACAAGGCCACATTTGTGTCACTTCAGGTCATGTAATTGCACCACATATGTGATGTCAGGCTTCTTTGGGGCTCTTTGGCTACCACCTGATTATGAGAGTGAAGGTCAGTAGGAACCAGAGCTCTCTTATCATTGGAAGCTATCCATCAGCCCCTGTATCTTTCTGTAAATAAGAAATGCAAAAGGGGTAGGGGTAAGCAAGACTGAAGACTTACTTCATATATTGCCATATGAAGTAAGAATATGTGGAATGGAAAAATTTATCAGTAGATAACTGAGATATGAAAATATATCGCTCTATCCTGTCAAAATGCACAGTTCCAGAAAGTTAATAAAAATATTATCGTGGTGACAATGTAGTTTGAAAATGGGGTATATCCTTAGTCTTCAGCAATTTTCAAATAATAATAATACAAGCCTTTAAAGGCCCTTAATTTAAATTATGAATTATTTTCTGTTTTTATTCTAGGTTGCCCAAACCATCTAATTCAACAATAAGGTAAGTATAAAACTTATATTTTCCTTCCTTGTTATAATCAGAAAAAAAATTATTGGCATTTCATACCACTTAGACAGGTGAGAGAAGTGAGACTTTTGATGAAAACTATTTTTTAACGAGAGGCTGGTTCAAGTCCAAGGTAACATTATTTTGATTTCTTCCCAATTATATTCCCTACTCCCCCCTGCCCTTGCTGTTTGGTGGTACTGAGGATTGAAGCCATGTGCTAGGCAAGGACTCTACACTGAGCTCCCTCTCCAACCCACAGCCAATCTCATTTTTTAAATAAACTTTTTATTTTAGTATAGTTTTAGAATATAGAATTATAAGGATGTTAGTATAGGGAGTTCTTCCCACATATCCTACCCCCGGTTTCCCCTACTATTGCCATATTAACGTGGCACATTTGTCACAATAATGAACCAGTCAGTATCAATGCATTAGTTTAACTGAAGTGTGTACTTTATTCGGATTTCCTCAGTTTTTACCTACTGTCCTTTTTCTGTTTCAGGATCCTATTTTAGGATTCCACATTACATTTCATCTTCATGTCTCCTTAGGTGTCTTTTTATAATAACACTTTCCTAGATTTTCCTTGACCTTGACTATTTTGAGAATTATAGGTCAGATATTTTGTAGAATGCTCCAAAATGAACTTTTAACTCATGTTTTTCTGTGATTAGACTGGAGCAATGTGTTTTGGGGAGGAGGACCATGGAGGTAAAGCACCATTTTCATCACTTTCTATGAAGGGTGCATACTATATACCTGATATATCTCTGCTGATGTTGACCTTGATCACCTGGCTGAGGGAGTGTTTTTTTAGGCTTCCTTACTGTACAGTTAGTCTTTTTTTCCCTCCTTTCCACACTGTTCCCTTAAAAAGAAAGTCACTGTGCACAGAAGACATCTGGAATCAGGCTCTACCTTCCAAGAACAAAGTACCTTCTTAAATTTTTGGTGTTCTTCTGCATGGTTATTCTTTTCCATTTATTTACTGAACCACTTATTTTCAGTATGGACTTGGGGATATTTTATTTTTTGGTACTTAGGCAGTAATCCAGTACCCTCTTATTTTATTATTCAAATTGGCCATAAGAAGCTCTTCTAATTCTCTTCTGTATTCTTTTGGCATTTCCCTCATCCTTATGGAGGTTTGGAGGATGTTTTTTCTTTCTTTTTAGCATTTCCTTACTTTCTGGCACTATAAGATACTTCTAGATCATCTTGTATATTTCCTGCTCCACTCGTGGATGAGCCAAAACTCCAAGGAACCCTTGTTCTTTTTATTGGCAACTGGTACAAGAAACTATTTGCAGCCTTCCTTTTTTTTCCAAATTTTTTATTCATTCATCATATTTGTACATAATGATGAGATTTGTTGTTACATATTCATACATGCATACAATATAATTTAACCAACATCAGTCCCCAACACTTTACCCATCCTTCTTCACCTCTACCCTGCCCCATCCCTTTCCTCTACTGATCTCCCTTTGATTTTCATGAGATTCCCCCCACCTTTCTTTTAGTTTTTTTCTCTCTAGCTTCCACATATGAGAGAAAACATACAACCCTTGACTTCTGGGCTTGATTTATTTTGCTTAACATAATCATCTCTAGTTCTATTTATTTTCCTGCAAATGACATAATATCATAAAACTCTATTATGTGCAGGTACCACATTTTCTTTATCCATTCATTAACTGATGGACACCTAGGTTCCATAGTTTGAGTATTGTGAATTATGCTGGAATAAATATGAGTATGCATTATCATACAGTAGGATAACTTTAATTCTTTAGGGTAAATAGTGAGGACTGGTATAGCTGGGTCATATGGTGGTTCCATGCCCAGTCTTTTGAGGAACCTCCATATTGATTTCCATAGTGGTTGTACTAATTTACAATTCCACCAACAGTGTAAAAGTGTTTCTTTTCCTCCCCAGCATTTATTATTATTTGTATTCTTCATGACTGCCATATTGACTAGTGTGAGATGAAATCTCAGAAGTTTTGATTTGTATTTCCCTAATTTCTAATGATGCTGAACACTTTTTCATATGTTTATTGGCCATTTGTCTTTCTTCTTTTGAGATGTGTCTGTTCAATTCATTTGCCCATTTATTAATTGGGTTATTTCATTTTTTGTGTAAAGTTTTTTGAGTACTTTATCTAGTACTATATATAGTCTATATAGACTAAGTGTATATATAGTACTACATATATGTGGTCTATATATAAAGTACTCAAAAAAAACTTTACACAATACTAATCCTCTGTCAGAAGAGTAGCTAGCAAAGATTTTTCTCCCATTCTGTATATCCTTTGTTCATATTCCTAATTGTCTCCTTTGCTTTACCAGGAGCTTTTTAAATCAGTGCCATTCAGTTTATTAACCCTTGGCATTATTTCCTGAGCTTTAGGGGTCCTGTTGAGGAAGTTGTTGCCTGTGCCTATTTGCTAAGTTTTCTTCTAAGAGTTACATATTTCCTGGTCTAATTCCTAGGTCTTTGATCCATTTTGAGTTGATTTTTGTACAGAGTGAGAGATAAGGTTCTAGTTTTATTCTTCTGCATAGGGATAACCAGTTGTCTCAGCACCATTTGTTAAAAAGGCTGTCTTTTCTCCAGTATCTTTTGGGCACCTTTGTCAAGCAAGAATCAAATAACTACAGATGTGTGTCAGTTTGTCTCTGTGTCTTCTATTCTGTACTTTTGGTCTATATGTCTATTTTTATGATACCATTCGTTTTCATTACAATAGCTCTTAGTATAATTTGAGGTCTGGTATTGTGATGCCTCCTGCTTCATTTTTCTTGCTAAGAACTGCTTTGGCTATTCTAGGTCTGTTATTTTTCCAAATGAATTTCATAACTGCTTTTCTAGTTCTGTGAAGAATGTCATTGGTGTTTTGATGGGAATTCCATTGAATCTGTACATTGCCTTTGACAGTAGTATGGCTATCTTAATAATATTAATTCTGCCTATCTATGAATATGGGAGTTCTCTCCATTTTCTGAGGTCTTTTTTAGTTTCTTTCTTCGATGTTCTGTAGTTTTCATTGTAGAGGTCTTTCACCTCCTTGGTTAGATTTGTTCCTAGATACTTTATTTTTTAAGCTATTGTGAATGGAATTATTTTCCTGATTTCTTTCTCATCAAATTCATTATTCATTGTTAATGTATAGGAAAGCTACTGATTTTTGTATGTTGATTTTTGTAATCTGCTCCTTTGCCAAATTTGTTTAATTATCTTTAGGAGGCTTTTGATGGAGTTTTATTGATCTTCTAGGTATAGAATCCAGAAATGGTGATAATGTGACTTCTTCCTTTCCCATTTTTATCCCTTTTATTTCCTTTCCTTGCCTAATTGTTCTGGTTAGGATTTCTAGAACTATATTAAATAGGAGTGGTGAGAGTGGACAATCTTGTCTTATTCCAGATTTTAAATGAAATGTTTTCAGTTTTTTCCCATTTACTAAGATGTTGGCTTTGGGTTTTTCATAAATAGTTTTATACAATGTTGAGGTAGGTTTCTTCTATGCTTTTATCATGAATGAGTGCTGAGTTTTGTCGAAGGCCTTCTCTGCAACTATTGAGATGACCAAGTGATTTCTGTCTTAATTCTATTTATGTGTGAATTACATTTATTGATTTGCATATGTTAAGCCATCCTTTCATCTCTGTAATAAAACCAACTTGGCAGTGTGATGTACAATCGTCTTAGTAGGTTGTTGAACATGATTGCTAAAGTATTTTTGCTTCTATGTTCATCAGGGATATTGGTCTGTAGTTTACTTTCCTTGATGTGTCCTTATCTGGTTTTGGTATGAGTATGATACAAAAGCCCTTACCAATCTTAACTGAAAATATTAAGCTGTTATTGTAAAATTGTGTTTGAGCAAAGAACTATTGAAAAAGCTATTAAAATCAAGGTCTAGCTGGGCACAGTGACACATGCCTGTAATCCCAGCAGCTTGGGAAGCTGAGGCATGAAGATCGTGAGTTCAAAACCAGCTTCAGCAACTTAGCAAGGCCCTTAGCAACTCATAAGACCTTGCCTCTAAATAAAACTAAATATAAAAAAGAACTGGGAATTTAGCTCAGTGGTGAAGCATCCCTGGGTTAAATCCCCAGTACTAAGCAAAAAAAAAAAAAAAAAGAATAGAAATCGAGATTTAGGTTTTGAGGGGCTTTGTTTTGTTTTTGTTTTTTAAATAACTATGTGATGAAACCTTGTTTTGGACTTTTCTGGTTTTGTTCATAAGAAGTATGAAAAGAAAAGTCCTTTTAGCTGGGGTATAATTATTGGATTCAAGATTCTATTTGTAGCTTGATAAGCTTCAAAGTGGGAGGCTAGAAGTCAAAGATCAAGGTGTTGGCAGGATTGGTTCCTTCTTGGAGCTCTGAAAAAGAACCTGCTCCCTGTTTGGCACCTGGCTTCTGGTGGTTTGCTGGAGTACTTGGTGTTCCTTGGCTTACAGATGTGTCACCCTAATCTCTCCCTTCATCTTCACATAGCATTCTTGTGTGCTCATCTGAGTCCAAGTTTCCCTTTTCATAAGGACACTAGGCTCACTGGATTAAGAACCCATTCTTCAGTATGATCCCCTTCTTAACTCATTATGTGAACAACAACCCTATTTCCAAATTAGAACCTACTATAATGCCTTTGGGGTTAGCACTTCAACATATGGATTTCGAGGAGAGATGCAATTCAACCCATAACATTGGTCTTTCTACAAAATTTTTCTACAAAATAACATTTTTCTATTCTGTAACCTTCCTGATCTCAATTTTCTTCTGGTTTAGACAGTGGTTTTGGGGGGTTTTTTTTGTTTTTTTTTTTTTTCCCTTAACCTCTGTCAGTACTCCAAATAATAGGAAAATTTTCACTGTGGCCTTTTTCTTTTTTTCCTTCAGTGATCTACTTTTGGCTTTTTTATTTCAAAACAGTTTGTGTACATAAATGGGCAGTATATTTTGTTAATCCATTACTTAAAGAAACAGATCCCTGGGTTGAAAGTTCAATCCAAGATGAGTGTATTACTGAACTAAATATCCAAAATTATTTCATAAAATAAAGAACATGGATCTTTTAAAACAGGAAACAGAAATTAAAAGCAACTAGAAATTCTTCCTACATCATCTGAAAACTAAAAATATCCACATTTTGCTTATATTATTACCCAGTTATGGAGATTATTCATGATAAAGAATTAAGTATGGTTTATTTTTAAAAATGAAATTTAGCTTTGTCTAGCAAAATTAAGAAAATTTCAAAGGTCTTGGAAGATAGTCTACAGACTGCCAACTCCATGATTATAGGAACTTTATCTGGGTTACTGTCATCCTCAAGGATTAGAACACTATAAGCCATAACAAAGAGTCCCAATAACTATTTGATGATTAATTTTTCACCGCACTTCTTTTTCTTCTGTTTTTTTATTTGCTCAATAAATCTTAGCGAAATCTGCTTACCATATCCAATTGATCACCCTTACCATACACACATCTCTCGTGGAGCCATGTTCCCGACCTTTACGTCACCTAAGGAGCTCTACAATGGTATTAAAGCCTGCACTCACCAGCCATTTCCTCCCACGGTGCCAACCAAGACCTATGATTCAACGATTTTGAAGACAAGAGGTAAAATGTGACTTAAAATTAAAACTATTGATTCTTATTATTATTGGAATTTATTCAATAATAAAATTAAAGCAAGAAGCATGAAGGACTCAAAACACAAACATGTGACCCCTCAGTAGATTAGAAAAGTTTCACCTGACTGTGGATGCATCGCACAATCATCAGGGACGCACTGCAGACCATTAAACCAGACTCTACAGGTACTTCTGATTCTTTTACTTCACAAATGCCTCCCATTGTAGAATCAGAAACCAGAAATATAGAATTGGTTGTCTTCATTCTATGTATGTTTTGTTTTCATTTCCTTCCTGCTCTTGTGGTTTAGCTTTAAAAAATTCCATCCTAGCCAAGCACAGTGGCGCACACTTGTAATCAAGCAGCTCCAGAGGCTGAGGCAGGAGGATTGAGAGTTCAAAACCAGCCTCAGTAAAAGCGAGACACTAAGCAACTCAGTGAGACCCTGTCTCTAAATGCAGTACAATATAGGGCTGAGGATTTAGCTCAGTGGTTGAGTGCCCCTGAGTTCAATCCCCAGTAGCAAAGAAAAAAAAATCCTGTCCTAGCTTAGATGATGAGCATAAGGGGTAAGGCAGAAGCAGTGATTAAATTGAAAGCTTAACATTTGAACTAAGACTCAGATACTAATTTATTCACATTCTCTTGACACCCTGGAGCATCTTTGTGGATGTATTTTATTAGAGAGGGCAGTAATCCTCTGGGACCCATCCTAGAGTCTCACCCACCCTAGACTCCTCAGTCTTTGCTGAGGAGATATACACATGCATGAAAGCAGATGACACCTCTGAATGTCTGAAAGATGCTAAAGAGAGGATAATAACAGAAAAGGCATGTAGTAGGAAAAATAAATACTTGTTAATAATTTATGCTGTGGAGTAGATAAAACTCAAGAATTGTCCTATAACATTAATTGTCTTCTGTACATGAATATATTTGTACCAAAGTGCAAGGATCATCAATAACAACCTCAGCACCTTGTTAGCAGACAGGTATGTTTTGGGTTTTGAAAAAGTGTGTAGCAGAGGACTTAAGAGCAGACTTTTCTTTTCTCTCCATACTAAGGATTGAACCCAGAACCTTACACATGCTAGGCAAGTACTCTACCACTGAACTACACTCCCAGTCCAGAGGCAAGGACTCTGGAGTCAGAGTATAGGCATAAAATTCTGCCCTTACTGTTTACTGTGGACTATAGTGGTATTTCTTAACTTCCGTCTTCACTTCTCAATCTCTAAAATGGGAGTATTAGTGCCAACTTCATAGACAACAAAGATAAGTGTTAACAGTTTGTTTGCTTTCATATAGTGACTCCAGTATGTGTTCACCATGATGAAATTTTACATTACCTCTCAGACCAGTCAGTATTGATAAGAGGAAGTGCAAACTGATTTTTCTAGAACATTTGTCTGTTTGGTGCTGAGGCTATGCTTAGTTATATTGGGAGAGTGAGATGAGTGAGTGCTGTGCAAAGAAACCCAAGATATGTATCTAAACAACTGAAAGTTTATAATTGTGTTAGGGAAACTATCAAAATTAATTCATTATTTTCAGTCCTTAATTAGATAATTTCTGAAGTTATATTTAGTACATAGTTAGCAAGAAGTCACAGAAATATGTGTTGAACTCATAAAAACACCTTTTAGGGACTAAAGAAACAAGTTGCCTTCTTCATTTTCTGCTCTTCCAAGCATCTACCTCTTTCTGACCAGTCACTCACTCTTAGGGACTTTAAGATGAATCTGTTAATAAGTATAAAAAGATCTTTCCATGAACTAGTACTATATTGGGTTTCTAATCTTCCACTTATTTTAACCTTTTATTATAAATAAATAGTATGTAGGGTAAGAGTACATGCTCTAGAATCAGATTGCCTGAGCTTGAATTCCATCTACTAGTGCTATGAACTTGCATACATTGCTTATTCTCTCTGTGCCTCAGTTTCTTTATTCACTGACATGGGAATAATAGCATCTTTCTCATAATAATTTTATGAGAAATGCATGTGATGGTATATTAAAAACAGTACAGTGGCTGGTGCTTTGGAAGTGTTCAATAAATGCCAGCCTTTGTTCTTGTTATATATTAGAATGGAGCTGGGAATGGTAGTGCATGTCTATAACTCCAGCTATTCAGGAAGATGAGGCAAGAGGATCACAAGGTCATGGCCAGCCTAGGCAAATTAGACCCTGCTCAAAATAATATGGGCTGGGGATGTAGCTCAGTGATAGACTGCTTGCCTAGCATGTACAAGGCCCTGGGCTCAATCCCCAGTACCATAAGGAAAAAAATAATAATAATGGGTATTCAGAATATTCTTTAGCTTGAAATTTAAAATGAGAACAGAGGCAGCCATGCTGTGTTTGGTAATGCTTATTAAATACAAAACAAGACCTAAGAAGCTGTATTCTTTAAAATGTTCTTTTACTACCTTTTTGGTAAGCAAGTACAATTCCATTAAAAAATAATAATAATAACCTTTCTATATTTGGGTAAAGAAGAGCCAAAACAGATAGTAAAGAAATTTATCTATTGAGCCTCCAGACACCAGAAAGAAGATCCAGGAAGATTTATTATGTACCTAAGGATTTTGCTTGTTAAGTATAAGTGCCCTCTATCACTGCTGAGAACACTAAGATTAGAGACTCATTCTCACTCTGGTCCACATGCTGCCCATATAAAGGCTCAAGAATTAAAGGGTAGGCTGCATCTTGAAAGTTATAAGAAGGGGCTAAGAGTGTAGCCCTTAGTATATGCAAGGCCTTGAGTTCAATCCCCAGCACCAATATTTTTAAAAGTTATACTGTATAGCTATAATATACACCAGAATTCATCTCTAATCTATATTGTTTCTATTTATTTCCTCCATAAACCTATTAGTTAAAAGGCTGTTCTTAATTATTCAGGATAACAGTGCTTTTCTTGAAAATTTCAGGTAATCCTTACAGATACGAACTGCTTGATTTTCCCACGGATTCAAAGAAGAAATCATTGGTGTGGCCAGGTCAGGATGTGTATTATGATGTAAGTTATCTTTCAAAATGTGTGTTTTAAGAGAAAGTACAATATATTTTTACCCAATAGTTTCTAAAACTCAAAAACACAGATTGTTTTATTTTCTATTTAGGTGAAACTTTTGAGATTTTTGACTATGGTTCACATTTTTCAATTTTATTAGCTGATTTCACATACTTTGGTTAGTTAATGGAACATTTCCACAGTTATAAAACAAAAAAGTTCCCCTCAGAAAGATGGTATGGAAGAACTGTTTCACAGCCTTAATCCTGTTTTTAAATTCTTATAATTCATAATGTGTCAAGTTATTCCAAATATGCATAGAGTAAATGAGAGACTTTCAGAAAGATTCATGAGCTGTCGTTGTTCCCATCATTATTAGTGCATTTATATTAAGTCTAAAACAAAATAAAACTAAAACAAGAGCTACCATTTATTGAGAAATTGCTAAACATTAAGTAATTTAGATGTATTTTAATTCTTATAAAAATCTCATAAAATTAATATTATCAAGTCCATTTTATAGATAAGGAAACTGAGGCTCAGAGAGTTTGAGACAAGGTCATGATCACAGAAGTCAGGTTTGTAATCTATGCTGTTAACTTCTGTTCCTTAACTGGCTTCACCCACATCCATTAGATAATTCCTCTGAGAAAGTAACCCATAGCAAGAATGCCTGTTCAAAGACTTGTAACTCATATTTGTGAGCTAATAGTCTTCTCTCTCCTCCTATTTCATCCTATGCCCCAAGGGAAGAGAAAAGACACAAATAACCTGATAAACAGGTCCTAACATGTGTCACCTAGCTGCAAAAGAGAAAACTCTAGAAACTGTACTTTAGTATTTTTTCCATCCAAGCCAATAAAAAAATATGTATAATGTATTAGTAGAGTGTGAATTTTAAAGAGGCTCAGCTCTTGACTCTACCTTATCAGCTCTGTGACCTGGGTAATATATTTAATCCTTTAGTACCTCTATTTCATAACAGATAAAATAGGAATGATAATAAAACTAACTGTTTTCCTGAGAATGAAATTCATATAAAAGTACCTAGCACCATATTAATACTAGCTCATAATAAATTTTAACTGCTATCAGCATTATTATTCCAATGATTATAAAACTTGGTTGACCTAGCAACATTAAGAAACAGATAACTTTGGAAAGAAGAATGTTCTAAATAATAAATAAGATGGCTTATAATAAATAAGATGGCTTAACCTTTTAAAATTTAAGTACTAGAGCTTAATTTTTATTTATTTAATGCTTTTATTAGTGCATTATGATTATATGTAATAATAATAGTTACACTATGATTATATGTAACCCTACTATTACATATAATCATAATGCACTAATGAGTTACTATCCTCATTTCTGGGGTATTTGTCTTTCTCCAGAGAGTCCCCATAATCCAAACTCATTCTCAGCTGGACATAATGAATTTGGTGAGCATGCATGCACCTCCTTTGGAAACGTCTCATCTTATCAAATCATGAGATGTCCACAAGTGTACCTCTCCATTCCCTCCACCACTCTAGGCTCTACATCTCACCTGCTCAGCCCCAGCAACATCCATGGTATCCAGAATGAGAAAAAACATGGCACCCTCACTGTGTCCCCATCAACCATGCTCCCCATCTTCTATCTTGCACCTCCATATTTCCACCATTCCATCTCAGGCAGTACTCTTCCCTAACTGCGTGGTTTTCTGTTATTTTAATCGGTGATATGTGGAGTTTTGGAGATGACACAAAGACATTGGAACCTTGTACATAGTTTTGCATCTAATACTTAGTAAACATTTAATGAATAACTAAGTTAAAAGCTACATATATTTCACAGGCTATGCTAGAAATGTAACTACAGTTTGTATAGTTATATTCCTCTAATTCATATTCAAATTCATATCCTCTAATTCCATATTCAAAACAATTAACTCCTTTTTATAGACTGGAAAGCCTAGAAACTCAAATGTCAGGAATTAGAATTCCTTCCTTGTATTTACCTCCATATCAGAAACAAACTCTGCCCTCAGATTGGTGTACTTAACCAATGAATACCTATTGTGTGAATGACTGCTACCAGCTCCTCTCTCATTACCCTCTCTGAATAAAATCACCTTCACATTTTAAATATTGACCAGCTCCTCACCCTCATGTGTTTCCTGGCTCTTAAACTATGACCAAAATACTACAGGCTGAAGTTCACATTTCCCATTTTCTTTTCTGAGCCCTAGACTGCATTTCAATAGATCACTGCTATTATTTCAACCAGTATAAGACATAAGATTAATTTAGCCCCTTAGAACAATTTTGGAAAAATTTCCTTCTTATTTGCAAGTAAGCTAGCACTGCAAATAACGAAAAAGATAAAGAGAACAAAGAAGGCATTCTTTAACCCTGAAAAAACAAAGTCATATTTTGGTTAAAGGTTTAATAGAGGTAGGCATTTCATAATTCTTGAGGCAACTTTCAGGTACCTTTTCCCATGAGTGCTCTACTATGTAAAATGGGGATCACTTCAACCTTACAGAGTTGTAGCAGCAGCAACACGTTTAGGATCTAGAAAGTTAGAGAGCTCCACACCTCAGGGCGCCTGACTCTGGCCCTTCTCTAGCTGTGCATTTCCCTAGGAAACAGGGAGTCTATATGGGGCCAAGAGGATATGTCCAGTGGAGCCCATGCTCCTCTGACCCACTCTAGAACATGTTCTTGAACCACAAAATTCCCTGACCAAATGGCTTTGAACCCAGTCCCAGGTCCTCCTGAGGACTCTTCCTCCCAAGGAGGAAGGACTAATCCTCCCAAGGGTTAACAGTGTTCCTGAGCTAGTATATTCATCAAGACCAAAGGGGTAACCAGAGATGGCTGTTGACTGGAAGTAGGAATGATTGGAGGATGGAGCCAGTAGAAAAGAGCAGTGAGGGGTGCTGAGGCCAGAAGCAGCAGTTGGCTCTTCCTGAGTCACCATTTAGTGATATAAATTAGAACCTGGTTTTCCAGGTTGTTATAAAGGTATTCTGTCTGAGCAAAAGAATGAAACATATTTTATTATCAGCTTACTTGCTGACTTAAACTATTTAGACGAATGTAATATGGACTTCCAATTGTACTTCAGCTCCAGGTTCTGCAAATGTTAAAGGAGGGCTTGGCTGTAGGATACAGCCATCTATACCTCTGCTCCTACTGTTTCAATTCTAAATTGTCAAAGTTCAGTTTTTGTGGTATGACAGAAGGGCTCCTCCTTCCCATCCCACTCCCGACCCTGCTTCTTGATTCAGCTGGAATCAATCTCTCCCTTCTCTGAACTTCAAAATCATTTTGTTTTAATTTCTTTTATAGCAAAGAGCTACTTACACTCATTTGTGTTCATACCTTATATCCTCTACTAGCCAATATACTCATGGATGGCTGGATTTATTTCTGACCTGTCCTTATTTCCTGCCACTATTGTGTATACATAGGTGTTCAATAAATATTAACAAAGTATCATCAATCTAAGAAAAGATGAATTTCTAAGTAATCAGAAAGACTTCAATGAAACTCATTCAATGATGTTTACATGCATACCTCTTTTAAAAAATACAAAAATTCATGTGTCTGAAGAATGAAAATTGTATTTGCATTTGAGTGACTTAACCTTCTCAAAAAGTCATAAAAGTTATTTTATGGTTTCATGTCAGGCAGGGAAGGAAAAATAGAAGCCACACAATTTTGGCTAATCTCAGCCAAAAGAGTACCTTAGAACCTTTTGTATCTCTAACAGATTTCATTGGCTGTAGAATATCCAGGAGCATTTCTCTAATATAAGTTCTCAGAAGCTTTTAGAAAAGACCTTATCATTTTGTTACTTAAAAAAAAACTCTCAATTATGGTGAATATAAGGAAAAAGCCACCATACCTAGCTTGAGAATTAGTAATTAATGAATTTTTTAAAAGCATCTAGCTTCATCCTAGAATTTCCTTTGTCCCTTTCCTGCAGAAATAGTGAGTCCATCCTTACTCTACTAGATGACAATAACAGCAATAATTTTTATGTTCATATTCTAGATTCCTAAATGTGCAGAGAAAAATAAGCCAACATTCTATCCAAAACCACCTAAAACTTTCGCTCCCAACACTTCTTTAAATACATGGGATGTTCTTAAGTCCATAAAAGAAGCCAACATACGAAGAAATCTTGAAAGGTCCCATTGGATCTCTTCATACAATCATGATTTTACAGGTATGAGTCACATTAATACAAGTAAAAAATGAGAACAAAATTGGGATACTCAACAAATGCTTTTACACATTTTCATCTTCTTATATTTCCTGTTTCTCAATATAAGCACTAATATTAATTAAGAGGGGTGGTAAGTTTCTCTTAACGGGTAGCTGGGAGAGGTAGGACTGGTTTCCATTTGATTGGTTCTAATTATATTATTAAGGAGATGGGATGTATCTATGTAGGGTAATTTAATTATCATTCTTCGTTTACTCTACCAAAATAATAAGATAGTGTTTCCACTAAGGTCTGGGACCCATGAACCCCCTTGAACTGGATGATTACCACGAAAAGGAGGTAGCAGAATTAACTGGACAGAAAGGATTTGACGCACAGCCTGTAAGTAATTGCAATCAACTCTGTTATTTAAAGGGAGAATATCCAGTGTTGATATCCTTCCTGCTTTGCCCACTTTTTATATCTGTAATGAGTACTGGTGCCCAACCTAGCAAAGAGAAAATTTAATTTTAGAAGTTAATTCTGAACTGTTTGGAACTGATTTGAACACCCTTTTGTACTCTTTGGAAAAACAAAGTTTCTTTTCTTAGCAGTGCTATTTTTTAACAGATTTTCTACTATGCTACTATTGGCTTAAAAAAGAATAGAGCCTAGCTGGTAATTCAATGAGATTCTTAATAAATTGGATCTTTGCACATTTGTATATCTTGTACATTATCATTGCTTTTAAAGAGATTAAAAACTTCTTCATGATATTCACAATAATTGAGAGTTGGCAGAATTACAATCAAAAACCAATAAATTCTCTGCCTATATCAATAGAGACTTCTTAGTTGATTATGTGAAATGGCCTGGAAGAAATGATCAAGCCCTTTCATAACAGAAGGTATAATCTGTTGACTTTATTACATAAATAAAGTGAAATTACTTATTAGTATGCATATATGTGGTTTTATTTTAGAACTTAATTTTTCCCCTCTGGCTACAAATTTTAAAAACAAAATGTTATCAAACATGTCAACTATGGAGGACACATAAAAGATGACTATTAGATTATTTTAGTATGAACTCCAGACTGAGATGCACATATTCAAGTTACATTAGCTTCAGCATTTACCAGAGTGATGTAAAATCATAACACCAGAAATAGGTCTATACACTGTTTTATCATTCACCAAATGGTTTTTAATTGTCTTGATTTTTCTCTTGTGATGTGGATTCTCTGTGGCTAGAAAATATACATATTCTCTGACACTATCAGGTGTGTTCAACAACTATCCATATTTCCACATGACCCTGTAGGGTTTAGCCCCTCAACAAGCAACTTTATCATTTTTACAGAGAAACACTTGTACACAGAGGATGTTTGTGAAGTATATTGAGCACAAAATGTGCAGATAAATCATTACAAGATAAAATATACATAAAATCATTTGAAGTTTAAAACAGTTTCAGTGAAAATTGCTGGCTTATGACTGAATGTAAACAATATACTCTGGGAAAGCTTGTTTTAGATACAGATATGAACTTTTTTGTATAGAATAAAATATTGGTAATAAAAAACTACTTGTGCATAAGGAATACTGTCAGTTTCATATAAGCCCTATCCTGCTTTTAATGACAAATTTAACAAAGCATGTAGAGCTGGAATTTTTCCTTTCTTCATCATATATTTATTCAATCTGGGCACAGTGGCACAAGCCTGTAATCCCAACAGTTCGGGAGGCTGAGGCAGGAATACTGTGAGTTCAAAGCCAGCCTCAGCAAAAGGTGAGGCGCTAAGCAACTCAGTGAGACCCTATCTCCAAAGAAAAATACAAAATAGGGTTGGGAATGTGGCTCAGTGGTCAAGTGCTCCTGTGTTCAATCCCTCTGTCCCCCTAAAATACCACAGTATATTTACTCAAAGTTGGTCAGCTAAAAGTTAAAAAAAAAAAAAAAGTTAGTGACCCAGTATGACAATTCCTCCAACTATAAGCATTATTTGTTTCAAAAGCCCATTCTTTAAGTCCAAGATACTGTTATTATTTTCTCAACATTCTCATTCTATTCTCTCTCCTATCAATTCCATCATCATACATAAAGTCTTTATTTTTTTAAATATTTTTTTAGTTGTACATGGACAGACTATCTTTATTTTTATGTGGTATTGAGGATCGAACCCAGTGCCTCACTCATGTGAGGCAAGTGCTCTACCACTGAGCTACAACCCCAGCCACTGTCTTTATTTTTTTCATTATATTACTATAAAATTTTTTCAACCATACAGAAAAGTTTAATAATTTGTTAATATCCATATACTTACTATGCAAATTCTATCATTAATACTTTAGTATACTTGTTCTATCACAATTTAATTTACCCACCTTTCCATACCTCTAGCCATCCAGCAATATACTTTATTATTTTTAACATGCTTTTACAGACATTAGTATACTTTACAGATATTAGTATACTTTACCCCTAAACATTTGACAGGCATATCATTAACCAGATTTCAGTATTTGTTTGCAGTTTTTTTCTTTGAAAGTGAAATATATGTTAGTTGAAATTGCACCAATCTAGATTTCACATTTACTAAGTTATGACAATTGCATATACCTTTGTAATCCAAGCTCCTATCATAATATAGAAAACTATCATCATTCCAGAAAATTTCTTCATGTCCTTCCCAGTCAACTCTTCCTTCTTCCTGCCACCCAACACATCTCTATTAATGTCACTTAGAATATACTCCCTACTTTTGAAGTTACTAGTCATGACTGAGTTCATAATATTTATAACACATCTCAAAAATAATCATAGACTTTTTAACACATTTCAAAAATAAGCACAGATAGACTGGGGTGTACAGTGACAAAGCACAGATAAGGGGGCTGGGGATGTGGCTCAAGCGGTAGCGTGCTCGCCTGGCATGCGTGCGGCCTGGGTTCGATCCTCAGCATCACATACAAACAAAGATGTTGTGTCCGCCAAATACTAAAAAATAAATATTAAAATTCTCTCTCTCTCTCCCTCTCTCTCACTCTTTCATTAAAAAAAAAAAAAGCATGGATAAGATGCTGGGTTCAAACCCCCAGCATCAATAAATAAATAAGCAAGCACAAGCACAATCATAACACCTCAGACCAGTGCTTCTCAAAGCACAACAGAGATGCTTGTTAAAAATGCAGGTTCATGGGCTGGGTGTTTAGCTCAATAGTAGAGCATGTGCTTTACATGTTTAAGGCCCCTAAGTTCAATCCCCAGCACTTCCTCCGCAAAAAATTCAGATTCCTAAGTCCCACTGTAGACCTTCTGAATTATAATTTTAAAAGGTCCAGGTTAGGAATTTCATTTTCTGCCATCTTTGAAGGTAATTCTTTCATGGGCTCTTTCTCGTCCAGCGGGGAGGTCCACGGAACAGGGTAGAGGAGAGTATAGTTGCAGAGTGGCTATTCAAGACCTCCAGAGACCAAGCAGGAAGCAGGTCTGATTTTATTGCGCAGTTATCACGTATATGTACTCAAGCAGTAGCTAAGCAGATTACAGGCTGTCACCAATTCAATTTCTGCTAACTGTCCTTGCAGCGACCAGTTGAGGAATGAGCCATACAGCAAGCACAGGGAGTGCAATACATGGTCTTGTGCCCAGGGCTGTGCAATGGGGAAAGCAGCCTGCCGCTCACATGCCTAGCACAAGGGGAGTGGCCTGTCACTCAGATGCCCTTAAAGTATGCCATGTATGCAGTACTCCAGGCACTTGTCCCCACAGTTTTATTTAGAGATAGGGTCTCACTTAGTTACTTAGTGCCTCACTGTTGCTGAGGCTGGCTTTGAACTCGCTATCCTCCTGCCTTAGCCTCCGAAGCCACTAGGATTACAGGTGTGTGCAACTGCGGCTTCAATGCCATTTTTTCTTGAGAAAAAGGAAAAAGAAGTTTTATTCCTTTGCAGATATCTTTAAATATATCTTAAAATTTTTTGCAATGTGCACTCCTACACCTATCTCACTTTTACACAATAGAAATTGGAATGAGTGTTCACCTGCCACTTATTAATATTTATCAAGCAATTAATTTTCTTCTTTCTCTTCTATCACTACAGCAAGAAAAATTCCACTCTATTTTAAAACCCTCCAGACCCCTGGAAGGGCGAATCGCCCGACTTACTCAGAATCGACGTCCTCTGGAGGCTATTATCCAGCAAAGTCCACGTTCCTGTCCAGATTGTACCCCTAATGTTTTGTGTACTTTTCATACCTTTATACCCAGTTCTGTAGAAATGATGGCACTAAGTGATAATATACCAGCTGGCGTGATCCATAAAAACCAGGATATTGAAGAGAAGATCAAGGAAGAACAAAGCTTACTATCTAACTACTCACTCAAACCTTCTTACTCAACAAAGGATCTGACTAGCATTTATGACATAAAACCATTTCCAAAAATCACAGATACTAAAAAGACAGAAGATTTGTACTGGAGACAGCTGTCATCAAAACCCCGACCTATATCTTACTGTAAATCAAGCGAATACATTCCCTATGAACGCTCTAAATCTACCCTACACAATCCATATAATATATGTAGAAACCGGGTTAGCTTTGCTAAACCTAGTCTTTTACAAACCAAACCAGACATGGAAATAATCAATTTAGAACGTAAATATTTAGGTAAGCCAGAAGAACAGCTGGGCTTGAACATGGAAAAAAACGAAGAAATAAGATCTACTCTGGGTTGGATTCCTAAAGCTGGAGTGACCAAGCCTCAGACCAACCTTCTGGATCTTAAGAACTCTTTCTCAAAAACTGGTGCACAAAAACGTTTCTATAAATCAATTCTAGACGACCATAAAGACCTTAGGGATAAGGTGAATTCAGGGATGAAACACCAATTCTATGGCCATAATTCCTATGATTTCTATAATTGAGGTATTCCTTCTTCCCTTCAAAACCCAGCCTCTTGCAAGAAAAAAAAAATATTCCAGAAATTCCTTCATTTTGCTGGCATATGTTTCTAGAGTAAGCCATAATAACCTCATTAAGGAGGTTTATGTTTTCAGGAATTTAAGTTAGGACCTAGTCAGAAGAACCAAGAAAAGGTGATGTTTGATGTCTTGAAAAAAGTTTGAGTAATTTGGCAATAAAACATTACTACCAGAAAAATGTATACTCCAGTCTCATCTTCAAATTATACTCTAAAGAAGTTTTCCAAAATTTCATGAAAAGCAATGTGTACAACAAAGTTTACATCATCGTTTTACAGAAAGTACAAATTTGAAAAAACTCAAATTCTCAAGAATTGAGAAATGATTATACAATCTGTTGTACCTTAATTAAATAAATGTGAATCCTGTCCTTTTATGTAAATGTTTGCACAAAATACTTTTTCCAGTTCCACCAGAGAAACTGGTATCTATGGCAGTTGTAGCTTTATAAAATGTATTTCCTAAGTCTTAAAAGTTGAAATTACTCTTTGATCAATGGACTGCAGAATGGATGTTATGTAAGCCAGCATAAAAACATTACCCTTATTGTACATCTCCATCAGAGCTCTTGGGTAAGCAGGTACATTGTTAATAAGGAGTAATTTTTTGAAAGAAAAAATTTTTTGAACAAGTAAGTCTCAATAGTGGTCTTAAAATATTCACTAAACCATCTTGTAAACACATGCTGTCATCCAGGCTTTGCTGTTCCTCTCAGAGAGCACAGTTGATTTAGTATAATTCTAAAGGACTCTAGGATTTTTGGAATAGCAAATGAGTATATGCTTCAACTTAAAATCACCAGCTGTATTTTCTCCCCTAGCAAAAGAGTTGTCCTGTCTTGAAGCTTTGAAGCCAGGCATTGATTTCTCCCAACTATTAAAGTCCTAGCTAGCCTCACCTTCTAATGTAAGAATGTTTCATCTACTCTGGAAAGCAGTTGTTTATTGTAGACAACTTAATCAAGTAATTTACTAGAAGTTCTAAATGACTTGCTTCTACATCAGCACTTGCTACTTCACTTTGCAATTTTATTTTATGAAGATGGCTTATTTCCTTAAACCTCATGAACCAACTTCTGTCAATTCCAAATTTTCTAATGCACCTTTCTCATCCCTCTTATCCTTAACAAAAAAAAAGAGTTAGGGCTTTCATCTGGATTAGGGGAATGTTATGGCTGGTTTGATCTTCTATCCAGACCACTACAACTTTCTCCACATCCGCAATAAGATAAAAAAAACCATTTGGCTAAATCAAAGTAGAAGTAGATAGAATTCAGGAAATTAATCAGAAACTGGGGGCTGAATTTGAGGGACGAAGAAGTCAAAACGTGACGTCCCAGTGACAGAAATGCATGTCAGGAAAGGGAGCTAGGTTTGAAGTATAACTCGAAGCAGTGATAATAAAACCTGCATTTCTAATATGACCAGAAGGGATGCAATCCTTTAGACTCCCAGAACACTCTAAATCACCTAAAATCGTGTTTCTTTCTAAATGCTTGCCTGCACACCCGTCTGCACAGAGACGCGAAGGGAAGGAGGAGACTTTAGAAGAAAAAGAAGCGGCAGGCATGGAGCCAGAGCGATCACACGCAACTGCAGCACCTTCCCCAGTCTTGGGAGTGAAGGCAAAAAAAGAAAATGGTCACAAGCTCCTGTCAAATAACTCCTGGTTCCTTGTTCATGGTATCCATCGAGGTGCTGCTGGCACCAGCGGTGGAAATACGACCCAGCCTGGGTAAAGGTCGCCAGCTGACCGGATGGTAGACCTTTAAGTGTGTCAAAGTTAGGGCGACTCCCTCTGGACGGAGATCGAATGATCCCCTCAAAGATATTACAACCTTGCTCTGGAGAATTGATACCTTAGCCGTTTAACTTCCTCAAGCCAAAAGTCTCCGCTCCACCCTCCACGCCAGCACACGCAGGCGCGCAGAGGCTGGGAGTGACGTCAGCCCCTCCTGGCACCGCCTCGAAGTCGAACATCCGAGGCCTGGAGAAAAAGGGCATCCACGCGACACATCCTACCCTGCTAGCTGGTAAACGCGCGCACGTTGCTGCCTGACCCTGGACGCCATAGCCAATGAGGCTCCGTAACGTCACCGCGTATGAGCCGGCTCGGCCTCACGTCAGGCCGCGGGGAGATGGAGCGAGTGCGGTTGCACTGACACCGGTACATAGGCGCAGACCGGCGTGTCCTTGGGCTAGAGAGTGGGACGTCCGGCTTCTGATCGGGATCCTTCTTTGCTTCTTTGCGCGAGCCACGAAAGAACGGTGAGCACGAGGCGTAGAAACTGCAGCAGGTGGGAGAAAAAGCTGTGAGAGGCGCGCACAAGCGTGGGAGCACGCGGGCGGACAGGAAGCCGATGCCAGGGTCTCGGAGTGGAGCTAGCGCGGGGTTGGCTGGGCTGGGACTGGGCAACCAACACCGGATGTCTTGAGATGGAGCAGAACCGTAACTAGGTAGAAGTCTGGACCCGGTGGAGAATTGGAGGCGGTTTGGATGCCGATTCGACAAAGATGCGGTCCCCGGGTTGCCATTGCCCAGGGCCTGTGGAAGTGATCGGCAACAATTCCTCCCGGAGGGCAGGAGCGTTGGCAACGCTTCAGGTTCTCCTTCAGAGAGCCAAAGCTGCCGCTCTTATGCCAAGGAATCAATTTTTTCCCCCCTGGGCCATGTGTCATTCCTCCTGTTAAGCGTTCGGACATCTCAAAAGGATGTTGCACCAGTCTCCTTGAAACTGATCTGAGTGAGTGACCTCGTGGTCACCCTCGGGATCTCAGAGGTGGAGGTGGGAATATCCCTGTCCCAGCCTTTCCCTGTCCTCTCAAACCAC